GGCGTGGGGGCAGGGGGTCCGGCAGACACTCAGCAGAGGCGGTGGCTTCGGTCTGCTCTGTGTTCCGGAACGTTCTGGACCTGGTTGTGTTCACATTTCCCATTTTGTTTTCAGTGACACGTTTAGGGTGAAAAAGTCGCCGAAGCGGTCTCCTCTCTCGGACCCGCCCTCTCAGGTACGCTGTCCCCGGGACGTGTCTGAGTGAACCGCTCGCCCGGGATTGAGGCTGGTGGGTGTTCATCCCGTCACGGCCCTCGCTGCCCACGCGGCCACGTCCCCGGCACCCTCCCCGCCTCCTCCACGGCGCCTCCTGGTGTTGGCAAGACACCGTTTGGATGCCCTCCCTGTGGGGGGTCGGATGTGTCCCGAGATGGAAAGATGTTCAGGGAGATGTGGGGGGCCTCTAGCGCAGCAGTCGCCAGCCTTGCGGACTCACGGGTCACTGGTGCTCCTCGGACCACCGGCCGGCGACCGCTGCGCTCGAGGCCCCTGGGGGACCTGCCGGTCCATCTCCCGTTCGTTTGCTGAGAATGTGTATGAATATCACGTCCAGGGAGTCGTGGAGGGAAATGGACACACAGGGAGGCACCTGAGCTTGTGTGACCAGCACTGGAATTTTTATTTGTTTATTTTGTTGATTTCAGAGGGAGAGGAAGGGAGGGAGAGAGAGAGAAGCATCAGTGGTGAGAGAGAATCACGGATCGGCTGCCTCCTGCACGCCCCCCACTGGGGATCCAGCCCACAGCCCGGGCCTGTGCCCTGACCAGGAACCGAACCCTGACCTCCTGGTTCCTAGGTCGACGCTCAACCCCTGAGCCACATGGCCGGGCAGGAGCCCTGGAGTTTGTAACCCACATCCAGTGGGAGGCCCAGCTCCTGCTCATTTGCTCCGCCACCCAGTTACCCACACGTCTTCTCCCGTCACAGACGAGGGAAGGCTGTCCTCCCTCCGGTGGGTGTGCCAGGCCCTTCAGGTCCTGAAACAGCGGTTCTCAACCTGTGGGTCGCGACCCCTTTGGGGGTCGAACGACCCTTTCACAGGGGTCGCCTAAGACCATCGGAAAACACATATATAATTACATATTGTTTCTGTGATTAATCACTACGTTTTAATTATGTTCAATTTGTAACAATGAAAATACATCCTGCATATCAGATATTTACATTACGATTCATAACAGTAGCAAAATTACAGTTATGAAGTAGCAACAAAAATAACTTTATGGTTGGGTGTCACCACAACATGAGGAACTGTATTAAAGGGTCGCAGCATTAAGAAGGTTGAGAACCACTGCACTATAACCTCTGAGCCTCAGTTTCTTCGTCTGTAAAGTGGGAGGGGGTAGAGTAACAGTGTCTATCTGTGCCCAGTGCCTGAAACACCTGACTGATAGGAGGAGCTCAACAAATAGTCACCTGGAAGGTGACCTGGAGTGAATACAGACTTAGACCAAGATTTTCTTGAACACAGCCTGCGGGATGGGGGCTGGGCCCCTGCTGGTGTGGAGGCGCGAGCCCTCTCTCTGTCCCCACCAGCAGGTGCGAGGATTGTCAGCCAATAGCAACTGTGGGCACAACCCAGGCATCAAAGCCATAAAATGACGAGAAAAGTGTCCTTTTCCTCCAAGTGAATGGGCAGGAGCATCTCTAATGACCGAGACCCCAATAACCAAACACCCCCACTTCTCTAAGCCCTGGTCCCCGAGACGAGCCACCAGAAAAGGAGCTTAATCACGAAGGGCAGAGCTGTGTCCCGGGGACACTGGGCATGTCCACCTCCTCGTTCCCGGGCTGGACCGGGGGCGGG